CTCCCATCCATCCTCTTAAGGTCGGCGATTTTGTTATCAAGGACCTCATCGATGGCTTTCAACCCCAGGGGAGCTCCTAGGAGTGTGCTGTCTTCAGGTTTAGTTGTATGGATATTTGGCAGAAGACCCTCTATTCTCTCTACGATGCCCTGGTTGGAACATATTATTTCACATTTAGAAGGGTTCAGGGTGAGGCCTAAAACTGCACCTTGCTCCTGGATTTTTCTGATGTCCTCCAGGAGGGAGTCTTGGGAACCAGCTAGGGTACCATCATCCAAGAACCAGATGTTAAGCTCGCTGGACAGGACCTCTGTGACTTGTTTGATGACTAAGCAGAAAAGGAGAGGAGCGAGGGGGTCACCCTGTTGGACGCCTTCTCGCGAGTCAATTTCATGTTCGCCAAAAAGTAGCTTAAGATCCATACTGTTGCATGAATGTACAAAAGGGTAGAGGGAAGGGAAATGACTATGAACCGCACGGAGTACAGCGTCCCTCCGCACCAAATTGAAGGCATTTTTGAAATCTAGCTTGATAAGGGCCTTTTCGTCTGTGATGTTGGCGATGAAGGCTCGAGCTGCATGGGCTGCCGCCTCACACCCTTGTGGAATGCCAAACCCGAGCTGTTTTGGCTTCAGCATGTTGGCCGCTGCATCACTAACTGTTCTTGCAGCTGCCTTTGCGACGAGACGCCGGAGAGAATTGCCCACAGCTATTGGCCTGATCCCTCCATCCTTTATCTTTAGAGCACAGAGAGATGCTCCAAAAAAGATAGGTCTTATGGACGCGGGTATGTTGCCAGCTAGACATGTGTTGGTGAATCTGGTTAGTTCCACCAAGAGGTTCTTTGCAATGTCACCCAGTGCAGGGTTGAGCATTTGCTTGAGGTGGTTGGGTTTTAGTCCTGTGAACCCACCTGCTGAACCTGTTGGGAAGGACATGGCTGCTTTATGGACCACAGATTCAGCCACCCAGAGAGGTTCTGCTCCGGTAGCCCCCACTTGTGCAATGTCGTCCTCACGCGGAGCCCTGGGTGGGTGTTTCTCCCTTAGGGCTTGAGCTGTTGCGGCATCTCTGTCGGCAATTGAGTCCTCACTGGTGATGACTCTTATTGCGCCAATAGTGTTTCCTTCTTCTATTTTCTTGGTGACTGATGTTCTGATTTTTGATGTCTCGGATATGGCACTGTTGCTCTTCCTGCCGTGGGTGTTTCTCGCACGAGTGGGAAGGCGCACCTGGTTGTCCTCCCTGGGAAAATCATTTATAGCTTTGATGACTGAGGCATATATATATATATATATATATATATATATATATATATATATATATATATATATATATATATATATATATATATATATATATATATATATATATATATATATATAAACTAAAAACTCCACACCCCAGAAGGATTCGAACCCAGACAGCCAGGAGAACTATGGTCCCATATAATCTCCTCACACAACCAGACCATCACCAAAGAAATCTTAACAAGCAACACAGAAATTATCGACAGATATAGCGACAACAGGAGGCTCGACATCTGCGAGGCACTACACATCGAAAAGTCAACACCAACAATCAACAGCCAATTAACACATAATTACATTCTACCCGCTTCAAGACCCCGAACCAACACAGAAGCAAGAAGAGAATACATGCACTGTACATATTGATTCGTGTTCTAAGTATGTCAAATTATCTTTAACCATTGATTCGTGTTCTGTCTCCCTCACCCAAAAACATTTGTGTTATATCACTTCACCCAAAAACGAATATAAGCATGAAACAGAGAATGTAATATTGTCTTTGAAAATGTAAGAAGTCTCTTGCGAAACGCTACTAGGCGTCAGACCATAAATAAAAATGTGGAGATAAATTTTGGAGAGTTAACTTTTCAATTACCCTCGACAGTGAAGAAAAACGTGTGTGTGTATATATATATATATATATATATATATATATATATATATATATATATATATATATATATATATATATATATATATATATATATATATATATATATATATATATATATATATATAATCCTCTTGCATGAACGGCAGTGACATTGCACTGTTGTGTCAGGTTTGTGTGCTATAAAACATATGTTAAGGTCATATGTGTGATGCTGTGTTTCACATGTGTATGTTTTCTTTCCGCTGGTATATACCTGACGTACACCAAGTAATGTGTCGTACACCTGGGCATGCCTTATACACTTATACATGAGGAAGAGCCCCCCAGCGTTCAACACCAGAACCATTGATTAAAAGAGGCCGCTATTGAGCTCTTTTTTTCCCAGACACCGTCATCAGCGAGGGAAGCGTTGCAAGCACATGCAAGCAACATCATACCCAAGCTTGTAACTAACACCGAAACACACCACATGAGTCAAGGAGAAAGGGGGACAAGAGTTAAGGGGAAGGGAAACAAGAGTCAACCAAGGGGAGATCAAGAGTCATAGTCAGCATGGAATAAGGCGGAGTGGTTGAGCCCCACTGTGCTCAATATCGGATAACATTGCAATCTTCCGGCCTCACCACTCACCCTGATGGATATATATATATATATATATATATATATATATATATATATATATATATATATATATATATATATATATATATATATATATATATATATATATATATATATATATATATATATATATATATATATATTTATGGAGTTGGGCAGATATTTTTCTTAAGAGTTTGTTCCTCCCTCTCCCAAACATATTGGAAAATATTTTTAAAAAATCTCTTTGATGAAAAATTATAGGAAATCGATTGAATGCATTTTCAATAATTATTTTTTTTTTGTTTTTATCAGAGAGGATAGGTTCTCTTACAGTCCACGACAGTCAGCTTGATCAGCTAATTGTTGTAATATAAAGTTTTAGTATTTGAAAATTTTGTGTGGGATGAATAACTGGTGAGATGAGTATGAGTGATGGTGCACTAGGATCACCGTGATGAGGTTGATTCATCACCACGTTATTGTGACTCATTGTCTGTATGGGTTCACCATCCTCACAAGGACCGTCCTCACAAGGACCGTCCTCACAAGGACCGTCCTCACAAGGACCGTCCTCACAAGGACCGTCCTCACAAGGACCGTCCTCACAAGGACCGTCCTCACAAGGACCGTCCTCACAAGGACCACCCTCACAAGGACCGTCCTCACAAGGACCGTCCTCACAAGGACCGTCCTCACAAGGACCGTCCTCACAAGGACCGTCCTCACAAGGACCGTCCTCACAAGGACCACCCTCACAAGGACCACCCTCACAAGGACCACCCTCACAAGGACCGTCCTCACAAGGACCGTCCTCACAAGGACCGTCCTCACAAGGACCGTCCTCACAAGGACCACCCTCACAAGGACCGTCCTCACAAGGACCACCCTCACAAGGACCGCCCTCACTAGGACTACCCTCACAAGGACCACCCTCACAAGGACCGTCCTCACAAGGACCGTCCTCACAAGGACCGTCCTCACAAGGACCGTCCTCACAAGGACCACCCTCACAAGGACCACCCTCACAAGGACCACCCTCACAAGGACCGTCCTCACAAGGACCACCCTCACAAGGACCATCCTCACAAGGACCGTCCTCACAAGGACCGTCCTCACAAGGACCACCCTCACAAGGACCGTCCTCACAAGGACCGTCCTCACAAGGACCGTCCTCACAAGGACCACCCTCACAAGGACCGTCCTCACAAGGACCACCCTCACAAGGACCGTCCTCACAAGGACCGTCCTCACAAGGACCACCCTCACAAGGACCGTCCTCACAAGGACCACCCTCACAAGGACCGTCCTCACTAGGACCACCCTCACAAGGACCATCCTCACAAGGACCGTCCTCACAAGGACCGTCCTCACAAGGACCACCCTCACAAGGACCGTCCTCACTAGGACTACCCTCACAAGGACCGTCCTCACAAGGACCATCCTCACAAGGACCGTCCTCACAAGGACCACCCTCACAAGGACCGTCCTCACAAGGACCGCCCTCACAAGGACCACCCTCACAAGGACCGTCCTCACAAGGACCGTCCTCACAAGGACCGTCCTCACAAGGACCGTCCTCACAAGGACCACCCTCACAAGGACCGTCCTCACAAGGACCGTCCTCACAAGGACCGTCCTCACAAGGACTGTCCTCACAAGGATCACCCTCACAAGGACCGTCCTCACAAGGACCGTCCTCACAAGGACCGTCCTCACAAGGACCGTCCTCACTAGGACCGTCCTCACAAGGACCATCCTCACAAGGACCACCCTCACAAGGACCACCTTCAAAAGGACCGTCCTCACAAGGACCGTCCTCACAAGGACCACCCTCACAAGGACCACCCTCACAAGGACCATCCTCACAAGGACCGCCCTCACAAGGACCACCCTCACAAGGACCGTCCTCACAAGGACCACCCTCACAAGGACCACCCTCACAAGGACCACCCTCACAAGGACCACCCTCACAAGGACCACCTTCACCGGACACAGCACCAATTAACCAGCACACAATATACCGGCCCCAACATAATCACTCCAACACAATTCCTCCCCGGCAGCTCCCTCTGGCAATAACACACACACACACACACACACACACACACACACACACACACACACACACACACACACACACACACACACACACACACACACACACACACACACACACACACACACACACATGCAATAAGTGTAGCTGAGATATCCCATTTACCTCATTAAAATTCCCTTACCCACGCCTACCTCACCCCTTACCCTTCCTCCTCATTCACCCCTCACACTCACCCTTCCTCCTCACTCACTCCCCTCTCATAACCTGCCTCTATTGGGCCTCTGCTCTTTCCTCTACCTATTATATTCATTACCAAAAGAGGTCCTTGAACACTCGTCTCATTCTCGATGTCATTCAAAAGTTTTATTCAACTCTGAATATTATCAGGATTTTGTAATCGAGTTTTTGGTCTCCATTAAGAGAGTGGCTTTGTCCGTTGCTGATGGGACGAGCGGAGGGACTCGTTGAGGGAGTCTAGGGTGCGGAGGGACTCGTTGAGGGAGTCTAGGGTGTGGAGGGACTCGTTGAGGGAGTCTAGGGTGTGGAGGGACTCGTTGAGGGAGTCTAGGGTGTGGAGGGACTCGTTGAGGGAGGCTAGGGTGTGGAGGGACTCGTTGTGGGAGGCTAGGGTGTGGAGGGACTCGGTGTGGGAGTCTAGGGTGTGGAGGGACTCGTTGTTGGAGGCTAGGGTGCGGAGGGACTCGTTGAGGGAGTCTAGGGTGTGGAGGGACTCGTTGAGGGAGTCTAGGGTGTGGAGGGACTCGTTGTTGGAGGCTAGGGTGTGGAGGGACTCGTTGAGGGAGTCTAGGGTGTGGAGGGACTCGTTGAGGGAGTCTAGGGTGTGGAGGGACTCGTTGTTGGAGGCTAGGGTGCGGAGGGACTCGTTGTTGGAGGCTAGGGTGTGGAGGGACTCGTTGTTGGAGGCTAGGGTGTGGAGGGACTCGTTGAGGGAGGCTAGGGTGTGGAGGGACTCGTTGTTGGAGTCTAGGGTGTGGAGGGACTCGTTGAGGGAGTCTAGGGTGTGGAGGGACTCGTTGAGGGAGTCTAGGGTGTGGACGACTCTTTGTTGGAGGCTAGGATGTAAAGGACTCGTTGTTGGAGGCTAGGGTGTGGAGGGACTCGTTGTTGGAGGCTAGGGTGTGGAGGGACTCGTTGTTGGAGGCTAGGGTGTGGAGGGACTCGTTGAGGGAGTCTAGGGTGTGGAGGGACTCGTTGTGGGAGTCTAGGGTGTGGAGGGACTCGTTGTGGGAGGCTAGGGTGTGGAGGGACTCGTTGAGGGAGTCTAGGGTGTGGACGGACTCGTTGTGGGAGTCTTGGGTGTGGAGGGACTCGTTGTGGGATGCTAGGGTGTGGACGGACTCGTTGTTGGAGGCTTGGGTGTGGAGGGACTCGTTGAGGGAGTCTAGGGTTTGGACGGACTCGTTGCGGGAGTCTTGGGTGTGGAGGGACTCGTTGAGGGAGTCTAGGGTGTGGACGGACTCGTTGTGGGAGTCTAGGGTGTGGAGGGACTCGTTGTTGGAGGCTAGGGTGTGGAGGGACTCGTTGAGGGAGTCTAGGGTGTGGAGGGACTCGTTGTGGGAGTCTAGGGTGTGGAGGGACTCGTTGTGGGATGCTTGGGTGTGGAGGGACTCGTTGAGGGAGTCTAGGGTGTGGACGGACTCGTTGTGGGAGTCTAGGGTGTGGAGGGACTCGTTGTGGGATGCTAGGGTGTGGACGGACTCGTTGAGGGAGTGTAGGGTGTGGAGGGGCTCGTTGTGGGATGCTAGGGTGTGGAGGGACTCGTTGTGGGATGCTAGGGTGTGGACGGACTCGTTGACGGAGTCTAGGGTGTGGAGGGACTCGTTGTGGGATGCTAGGGTGTGGAGGGACTCGTTGTGGGAGGCTAGGGTGTGGAGGGACTCGTTGAGGGAGTCTAGGGTGTGGAGGGACTCGTTGTGGGATGCTAGGGTGTGGACGGACTCGTTGAGGGAGGCTAGGGTGTGGAGGGACTCGTTGAGGGAGTCTAGGGTGTTGAGGGACTCGGTGTGGGAGTCTAAGATGCGGAATGCAGCCTCAGACATCACTAATGTGAAGTCTGAGCCGCCTCCTAAATACAGTTGGTTGGTTTAAACAAGCTTGGTGTTCCCCCGTTATAAAGTCCCTGTGATTAAGGACTAGCGCCACTTCTTTGTCTTAATGTCGTGAGAAAATGACCTGAAGGTGATGACCTGAAGGTGATGACATGAAGGTGATGACCTGAAGGTGATGACATGAAGGTGATGACCTGAAGGTAATGACCTGAAGCTGATGACCTGAAGGTGATGACCTGAAGGTGATGACATGAAGGTGATGACCTGAAGGTGATGACATGAAGGTGATGACCTGAAGGTAATGACCTGAAGGTGATGACCTGAAGGTAATGACCTGAAAGTGATGACCTGGAGGTGATGACCTGGAGGTGATGACCAGAAGGTGACGACCTGGAGGTGATGACCAGAAGGTGACGATCTGAAGGTGATGACCTGAAGGTGATGACCTGAAGGTGATGACCTGAAGGTGATGACCTGGAGGTGATGACCTGAAGGTGATGACCTGAAGGTGATGACCTGAAGCTGAGGACCTGAAGGTGATGACCAGAAGGTGATGACCTGAAGCTGATGACCTGAAGGTGATGACCTGAAGGTAATGACCTGAAGGTGATGACCTGAAGGTAATGACCTGAAGGTGATGACCTGAAGGTGATGACCTGAAGGTGATGACCTGAAGGTGATGACCTGAAGGTAATGACCTGAAGGTGATGACCTGAAGGTGATGACCTGAAGGTGATGACCTGAAGGTAATGACCTGAAGGTAATGACCTGAAGGTGATGACCTGGAGGTGATGACCTGAAAGTGATGACATGAAGGTGATGACCTGGAGGTGATGACCTGAAGGTGATGACCTGAAGGTGATGACCTGAAGGTGATGACCTGAAGGTAATGACCTGAAGGTGATGACCTGAAGGTGATGACCTGAAGGTGATGACCTGAAGGTGATGACCTGAAGGTGATGACCTGAAGGTGATGACCTGAAGGTGATGACCTGAAGGTGATGACCTGAAGGTGATGACCTGAAGGTGATGACATGATAAAAATGACACGAGAAAATGTGGCATTAAATTTAGTTTGTCCAAAATATATTGTAAAGGTTTGTAGAAAATAACAAGATGGTGAGGGACGAGCCAAGTTGAAATTTAAATGTTAAAAAACACGAGGTGATGAAAAACCTGCTGTTGGTCAGCAGGTGTGTAGAGGTGCACATGTGTCGCTGCTAAGGCTGCCTGCAACACGTCAGCTATGAACAGCACAGGGGTTGGGGGGGGGGGGGGCACAGCTGCACCGCTAAACCATGACGTGTCGTGGCGGCATGCAGGTCCCGACAAGTGCGTCACTTGGAAAGAGGTCATATGTTGGGTCATATGTGGGGTCATGTGTGGATTGTCTTGTAGCACAGCGCGCGAGCACAGTACAGTTGTGCAGGCCATTGTCCCAGCCGCAGCTCCGGCAGAAGCAATCTTGTCCCGTTTTCCTAAGCTTGGGAGGGGGGGGGGGTGAACTAAGCTAATGGTTGAGAGGGGGGCCATGGCCACCTGGAGCAGACATGATCGTGGTCAACACTGGCGGTGAAGCAGGGGGGACAGGAAGCCAGATCGCGACGAACTTGCCCCAAGTTATCCTAATAAATTACATTTCGCATGTGGATAAACGAAGAGAAACTCCAGGAGGAGTCTAGGGAGTCCTGTGTGGTCCAACCACCAGACCCAACCAACCCCCAGACCCAACCAACCCCCAGACCCAACCAACCACCAGACCCAACCAACCACCAGACCCAACCAACCACCAGACCCAACCAACCCCCAGACCCAACCAACCACCAGACCCAACCAACCACCAGACCCAACCAACCCCCAGACCCAACCAACCACCAGACCCAACCAACCCCCAGACCCAACCAACCACCAGACCCAACCAACCCCCAGACCCAACCAACCACCAGACCCAACCAGCCCCCAGACCCAACCAGCCACCACCCCAACCAACCACCAGACCCAACCACCACCAGACCCAACCAACCACCAGACCCAACCAACCAACCCCAGACCCAACCAACCACCAGACCCAACCAGACCACCAGACCCAACCACCACCAGACCCAACCCAACCAACCACCAGACCCAACCAACCACCAGACCCCCAACCAACCCCCAGACCCAACCAACCAACCCAACCAACCACCAGACCCAACCAACCACCAGACCCAACCAACCACCAGACCCAACCAACCACCAGACCCAACCAACCACCAGACCCAACCAACCACCAGACCCAACCAACCACCAGACCCAACCAACCACCAGACCCAACCAACCACCAGACCCAACCAACCACCAGACCCAACCACCACCAACCAACCACCAGACCCAACCAACCACCAGACCCAACCAACCACCAGACCCAACCAACCACCAGACCCAACCAACCACCAGACCCAACCAACCACCAGACCCAACCAACCACCAACCCAACCAACCACCAGACCCAACCAACCACCAGACCCAACCAACCACCAGACCCAACCAACCACCAGACCCAACCAACCACCAGACCCAACCAACCACCAGACCCCCAACCACCAGAACCAACCAGACCCAACCAACCACCAGACCCAACCAACCACCAGACCCAACCAACCACCAGACCCAACCAACCACCAGACCCAACCAACCACCAGACCCAACCAACCACCAGACCCAACCAACCACCAGACCCAACCACCACCAGACCCAACCAACCACCAGACCCAACCACCACCAGACCCAACCAACCCAGACCCCAACCACCAGACCCAACCAACCACCAGACCCAACCAACCACCAGACCCAACCAAACCCACCAGACCCAACCAACCACCAGACCCAACCAACCAACCAGACCCAACCAACCACCAGACCCAACCAACCACCAGACCCAACCAACCACCAGACCCAACCAACCACCAGACCCACCAACCCAACCAACCACCAGACCCAACCAACCACCAGACCCAACCAACCCCAACCCAACCAACCACCAGACCCAACCAACCACCAGACCCAACCAACCACCAGACCCAACCAACCACCAGACCCAACCAACCACCAGACCCAACCAACCACCAGACCCAACCAACCACCAGACCCAACCAACCACCAGACCCAACCAACCACCAGACCCAACCAACCACCAGACCCAACCAACCACCAGACCGAGTATCTCAGGAATCAAATCCATGGAAGTGAAATAAAAAATAAAATAAATATAAAAATAGAAATTAATAAAAATAAACCAAAATTTTATTCCACTGAATAAATGCAGAAAAACTCTTAAAAAAAGACCCTTAAAAAGTATATACATCATTATAAACCTTTCACTTGTTTGGTCTGAAGGTTTGAGACCATTGTTGCGTGTGGTGTGTGGGGTTTGAGAGCATTGTTGCGTGTGGTGTGTGGGGCTTGAGAGCATTGTTGCGTGTGGTGTGGGGGGCTTGAGAGCATTGTTGCGTGTGGTGTGTGGGGCTTGAGAGCATTGTTGCGTGTGGTGTGTGGGGTTAGAGACCATTGTTGCGTGTGGTGTAGGGGGCTTGAGAGCATTGTTGCGTGTGGTGTGTGGGGTTTGAGAGCATTGTTGCGTGTGGTGTGGGGGGCTTGAGACCATTGTTGCGTGTGGTGTGTGGGGTTTGAGAGCATTGTTGCGTGTGGTGTGGGGGGCTTGAGAGCATTGTTGCGTGTGGTGTGGGGGGCTTGAGACCATTGTTGCGTGTGGTGTGGGGGGCTTGAGAGCATTGTTGCGTGTGGTGTGTGGGGTTTGAGAGCATTGTTGCGTGTGGTGTGGGGGGCTTGAGACCATTGTTGCGTGTGGTGTGTGGGGTTTGAGAGCATTGTTGCGTGTGGTGTGGGGGGCTTGAGAGCATTGTTGCGTGTGGTGTGGGGGGCTTGAGAGCATTGTTGCGTGTGGTGTGGGGGGCTTGAGAGCATTGTTGCGTGCGGTGTGAGGGGTTAGAGACCATTGTTGCGTGCGGTGTGAGGGGTTAGAGACCATTGTTGCGTGCGGTGTGAGGGGTTAGAGACCATTGTTGCGTGTGGTGTGTGGGGTTAGAGACCATTGTTGCGTGCGGTGTGAGGGGTTAGAGACCATTGTTGCGTGCGGTGTGAGGGGTTAGAGACCATTGTTGCGTGTGGTGTGTGGGGTTTGAGACCATTGGTGCGTGCGGTGTGAGGAGTTTGAGACCATTGTTGCGTGTGGTGTGGGGGGCTTGAGAGCATTGTTGCGTGCGGTGTGTGGGGCTTGAGAGCATTGTTGCGTGTGGTGTGTGGGGTTTGAGAGCATTGTTGCGTGTGGTGTGGGGGGGGCTTGAGACCATTGTTGCGTGTGGTGTGTGGGGTTTGAGAGCATTGTTGCGTGTGGTGTGTGGGGTTTGAGAGCATTGTTGCGTGTGGTGTGGGGGGCTTGAGAGCATTGTTGCGTGTGGTGTGGGGGGCTTGAGACCATTGTTGCGTGTGGTGTGTGGGGTTAGAGACCATTGTTGCGTGTGGTGTGTGGGGTTTGAGAGCATTGTTGCGTGTGGTGTGGGGGGCTTGAGAGCATTGTTGCGTGCGGTGCGAGGGGGTTCAGCTCGTCCTCCAAAAATGGTGAAGTAAATGTAACAGCACAAGTAAGTACAATTATGTACTATTCATAGCAGTCAGGAATTGTACTTATTTTCACTTAATATTAAACCGTACTGTCAAATATATTTTGAATATTTGAGTTTACCTGAAAAGCTGAATAGAGAACCACGACCTAACCTAACCTTCTTAGTGTTTAAAGATAAGCATTTTATTGCTTCTTAATTACAATTATGCTTAACATATAGCTATATTGATATTACAGTTTCATGAAACGAAACAAAACTAAACTATTTCAATAAATTGTAGAGTAACTCAGGATATTTTCAAATTTTGTATAAAATCTCTATTATTTAATAAACCTGAAAAAGAAATTCCTGATATTTAAAACTTGCGTA